AACAACAACAACAACAACAACAACCATCTCTCTGCTCCTTCGTCTTTTAACCTAAACCCCTCATTATATGTGAGGAACTTTTTTTCTTCATTTGTGGCACTTTTAGCAGTTTGAGCCTAAGCTGGAAGAGTAGATATGTGCAAATATAGAATAAATATATCATTTGTGTTTGAAAACATTATTTTCCAAGATTCAGCCATTGCACCACACCCTGATGTGTGTGAAATATTTTTTCCATGTTGTTGTCATGTACTATTGAGTCAGAACCAACCCATAGCTGACCCTCCACCAGGTTTTCATTGGCAATTACTCGCACAGGAGGAGACTGCCCAATCTTCTCCCGCAGGACAGCTGGTGGATTCAAACTCTGAGCCTTTGGGAATGCAGCACTGCTTCTTGCCACTAGGTCGCTTTTTTCCATATGCCACCTAGGTATTTTTTACTTAGTAGCAATGAATGAATGGAAATCCAAAATCCCTGTAAATGCTCATTAAAATTATTTTTAAAAAATGATTCTCTGTTTACCAGGTTCTCAGTGTTAACACCTCGAATGCAAAATTTTGAAATGCTGCTTGCTTGCATTATTTTCTATATTTTAAAATACGTATATATTAATTCAAGTGAAAAAATGTTTATCACTTAAAATTACCCTATATCTCCATGTAGGCCGGAGAGAAATGGGCAATCAAATCCCATGCAATTTACTGCCTCTGAAAACCTGCTGAAGGGTCAGCTACGGGTGGGTTCTAACTTGAGAACACACAATCATCAACATCACCAAGTAGAAGTTGACCACACTCTGGGAAGTTCCGTGAAGCTATAAATGAGATTCCACCTAGTTCCTTCTTTCTGAAAAGATTGCATATTGATCTTTACTATGATACCTGTGTTAATGACATAATCTTCATCCCAGTTTAATTAGAACCATACGTAACACTTTGCTGGACCTTGCAAAGGCAATTAAAGGTGTCGTCATAATGGATTCTACACTAGAGGCCCTGTCTAGCAGCTTAATTGTTGGAAAGGTTCCAGAAACATGGGCCAAACGATCATACCCAAGTCTTAAACCCCTGGGAAGTTACATCACAGATTTTCTAGCCCGACTGAAATTTTTACAGGTAAGAGATTTTGTGTACATACATATACACACACATACAGATGTAAATATAGATGTAGGTTTTATTGTCAGTTTTTTATTTTGTTTTTTGGTAGGAGCACTGACTCAGAAGATGCCAGGAATTAGCTGTGATCACTTGAGTGCTGAGCTAGATAAATAAAATGTGATTAATAAATTCTTGGTAATCTGACCAAAGTTTTAGCATAAATTATTGGTAATCTAACCAAAATACCATAAAGGTGTAAAAATGATGTACACTTCAAGGCATTGAGTAGAAAATTATAACCTATTTCCCCAGAACTCAAGTAATAGGTAATATGTGCATTTCCGAAAATTCTCAGTCTGTGAGTCCCTGACACTGTGTTTTTGTTTTGTTCTGATTCAACTATTGACTGATAAGTCATGGAAAGAGCCCAAGGGGTGGCTTTATCAGTACTTGGCTATTGCTTATTACTTCACAAAGTTCTCCTGTCTTATATAAACAAAGAAAATAGGAATGCTTTGAAATCCTCCCTAGAATCAGCAACTTTAACAACTTCTAATCTGCGGTTTTTGTTCTCATTTCCTCCTTACCATTTATCATATTCATCTTCTCTTTCTCCTTCCTGTGCTGTTTGGGGGGAAGGGAAAGCTTTTAGCACGATGACTATGACCCTAGACCAAATCCTAGACCTGACACTCTCTATGTGAGCAAACAAGTTGCTAATCTTTTCATCCCAGTTCTTGTCTGTAAAGCAGAAAAAATAATGCAACTCACAGTTATTATGTGGATTAAATAATCTTATAAAGTGCTTAACCAGTACCTGGCAATAGTAATCATTCAGTAAATGGTAACTAATTTAGAGATCCTACAAGTAACTGACCACTCAAGAAATTCTCGGCCTAGGAAGCCCTAGAGTAGAGTGAAGGATTTTTTTTTTAAACTCATACTTGCTGTCAAGGTTCTTTCTCATGGTTCTATGTGGGTTGGGTCTTTAATTTCCTGTCTTTCTCTTCCTCTTGATTGTCTTGTACTGTTGGCCCATTGCCAGGCAGCAGTGTTCTCCCAGAGCTGTCTTCTTCCCATTGTGCACTGCTTGCTACAAAAGCTGAAGACAAAGCTCATTTCAGTTTATCCCACAGAAAGGAATTAAGACCACACCTTGTCCACAGGGCCTTGTGAACTCTGTGGGATATAAAGAAAATGATAAAATAAATCCTGCTATCATCAAGTTGCCTATAGCCTGCCCGGAGACAAGTTATGTATTAAAGAAAACAAATACAGTGTACAGAGGAGAATGTGTCAGAAAAGGCAAATGTGTCAAATGGTCGGAGAGTTCAAAGACAAGAGAGCTCTGTTAGGTTGAAAAAGCAGGGCTAGTTTCATGAATGAGGTAGTATTTGAGCTGGGTCTAAACAAACAAATGGTTTTAGATCCTGCAAAAGAAAGGAAATAATTTAGAAACAGATACAGAATCAAAGACACTATCAGTCATCCAGGATTGATCCTATTGTCCGTAACAAATACTATAAGCTAAAAAGGAAGTTTTTTGCTCTTACATAACTGAACAACCCAGTGGTTAAGCTGACTACAGGCTGGATTTGGCCAGAGGTGTAAACAAGATTACCTGGCCCTGGTGTTTGCATTCCATCTCTTAATTCTCTTTGGGCTAACCCACTCTCAGATCCTTATCTGATAATAGAAAGATAGCAAGACTCCACATAACTTAAGAAAGTTAAGAATGAACCTTTTCCCTTCCCCCTCTCACCCCAGTTGGCTTTCACTGAGTTGCTGTGTTGTTCCTGAAACAATCCCTGATGATTAGAATGATGGTTGGCCAATCATGTGCTTCGCCTTTCAGTCCTCCCAGCCTGGGTGGAGTTTCAACACCAGAAGTACTCAATTGGCTGAAGTTTAAAATTAAATTACCCGACCTTTCTTCCAAGTCTGTCTCAGCCAGGAAGCTCCCCTGAACCATATGCAGCATCATAGCAGCAGGGCAAACACTGGCATATGGGTCATGGTAAAGCAAGAGGTGCTTTGGTTAGCACTGAAATCCAAGTCTCCTGTGGAATGAAAGAGACGTCCAAAGAACTTACATTTGACTTTTTTACAGAAGATGTGAATCTTTCCAATTATGCTTCATTCAAATCCTCATTCAGATTAGTTTTGATTTCCCAAAAAAGAGTAACTATGAGGGAAGAAAGGTAGGAGGGAGGGTAGGTGATGTGTTTGGTGGCTGGGAACTGTGACAGCCTGTGTATTTACAGGGCAGCATTAACAAACTCAGGAATCAACTGTTTTCCATTTGATACTTGTAGCAATTGAAAAATAAACATGATGTACTTTCCCCCTTTTATAGGATTGGTCTGATGTGGGAAAACCAATCGTGTTTTGGCTCTCCGGGTTTTTTTTCACCCAAGCCTTTTTAACTGGAGCTATGCAGAATTTTGCCAGAAAACATACCATCCCTATTGATTTACTAGGATATGAATTTGAGGTATCGTATCACTTTTATACCATGGCATATCATCACATCAGAGTCATGATATTTGAGCATAAAGGATATCCAGAGTGTATGTGTTCTACCCGATTTTAAGCAATGTGACTTCTTTTCAGTCTTCATGTTCCATGAAGGAAATATATATTTGCCTTGCTAGCTGCTCTGGTGGCCGAGTGGCAAGAAGCTGCACTGCAATCCTGAAGGTACAGGATTTGATTCAAGGCCACCAGATGCTCCATGGGAGGATGGGCATTCTCCTCCCCTGTAATTAGCTGCCTCTGAAAACCCACCAGAGGAGGGTCAGCTATGGGTTGGTTCCAACTCAACAATACACAACAACAACAACAAACAACAAATCTTATATAAAACTTTTATGTATCTCAATGTTCAATCGAAGTAATTTAATGTTATTCTTCTCATTTAACAAAACTTAATCTGAGGTACTGGTAGCCCGATGAAATATTTTGAAATAGAATTGTGCATCTTTATATAGATGGCTGAGAAAGTGTGTAGTTTAACCAGTCATTATATAATAGCCCGGGATGTGTTCTGGGTCTCAGTTAATGCTCTCTCTATGATACTGTGTCATCTCGAGGCCAGTATCACACCGGAGTGCAGTGTCCAAATGAGTAAGCACGGGAAATTAATACACAGGCTGACCGTGAACATGTTAAGAGGGGTACCAAATGAATGTCCTCAGTGTATTTTCTTTTGTAAATAATTTGGCTTATTTAGAATGATTGATAAATCTAAAAGAATTGCACCCGCATTCATACTAACACAAATAAAATGAATTTAAAAAAAATTTTTTTTGCAAAAATTCAAGCCAAGAGTATTCTGTTCATATTGACAGTACTCTTGTATTTGTATTCCTATAAAAGGACAAAATCTAGGGTGAACGAGCTAGTCTAGATACGGCAAAGAACCTGCCATACTAGGTTTTATTACTCTGTTAAAAAATTAAGATTCCCCAAATAGGGAACTCCCTGGATAAGTTACTTTTCCTATCCCCTGCCAGCAGAATGGGGCTGAAAACACTCATTGCACAAGGCTGAAATGCGATGGTTCAGATGAAAGCACGTAGAACAGTGACTGGAAATAGGAAAAAGAATCAGAAGTTAGAGGAAACATGGCCCAGGACCAGGAAAGACAATTGCCTGTGGAACTTGGGCGGGAAATCTAATCTTGAACTTTGTCTTTATTTTCTACATAAATCTCTCAACCCCAAGTATATAGATCCTTCGTTTTATTGGGATAGTAGAGAGTTGTGCAAGACCTTCCAGGGAGAACTTGGCAGGGGAGCGGAGGAGGAGGGGAGCGGGAGGGAGGGGACTGGGGTCGGAGGGGCGCGGAGGGAAAAAAGAAAAGGTTCCTTGCTAGTGTGACCCTCCACCTGCAGGTTATTCCCTATGATGAGTCTGACATAGCTCCCAATGACGGCGTTTTTATCCACGGATTGTATCTGGATGGAGCACGCTGGGACAGAGAAAGGTCAGCACTTCCAATGCCAACGCCTCTCAGGTGTAGCTGAATCATAAAAAGTCTGCTACTTTTTTGAGACCCAGAAGCCTCAAGGAAATGATACAAATAATAATATAAAAAAATCTCATCTAAATAGTTATTCAGACAAGTGCAATTGATGAGTAATTTTAGATCTTGAATAACTGAAATGGTTTTATTTATTTAATAGTTTTATTAGTAAGAAGCAATTGTCCTGCTTCTTCCATCTGGTGAGTGATCTTCTGTTTCATAATGTGTCCAGCTGCCTCATTTTTAGCTTCTTCCATCTGGTGAGTGATCTTCTGTTTCATAATGTGTCCAGCTGCCTCATTTTTAAACCATTTATAGTTACCGTAAATGAAAGTTACCATTTATTTTAGTTAATGGAAATCTTTTATTTGTATCTTAATGAGATAATAACTATTGATATTATTTCAAATACTTGTTGGATTTCCAATTTCACACAGGAAGTGAAGAAAATGCTATTCTTATTTTAAAATAGGGGAAAGATAGAAGGGGAGAAATATTTCCTGTGGAGTCGTGCTCTGAGAAATCAGAGCAGTGGTAACACTGCCGTGTTCTACAGTGAGAACGCCAAGACAGCGTTATGGGAGACTCAGCAGCACATCGTTAATTTTTTCCATCCTATTCCCTTTCTTTTTCATTATTCTGCTGACATTTCTCTTCATTTACTTTGTGTATCTTGACTGAATTCTTTGCTTGTCCACAATTTTCTTTTATTTCTTTTTATTATTCATTGCCTCTTTCTTAATTCTTCTTTTACCAATCTTTTCTTTAGTCCTCTGTCATATTAAAAGTAAATATTTAAGTAGCATCGAATCGTAAGCAAATTTCAGAAGTTTTTTCACTAATACTTCTGTCAATTTCTCTTCACAGTGGATTGCTTGCTGAACAATACCCTAAAGTTCTGTTTGACTTGATGCCCATCATATGGATCAAACCAAGTAAATACACTTTTAACAGATATTCTTGGTGTTTTAGGGAGGGTGAGGATGGACTTCGTTGTGAGGATGGGAGGACTTGGCAGGGGCTACAAGTCAGAGCCTGCCCAATTGCTCCTAACAACAGTCATTCCTCTAAGACAATTTCTGTCTCAGATATCCTAGGATTAGGATTTATTTAAATTATAATTAATGACTTAATGTTTCCATTGGAAATACATTATTGCTACCTTCCTTCTTCCCTTTGTAGTGTGGTATTACTTGTTTTGAGACGTCCTTCTGCCTTTTTTTGCTATCAGCCCATGAGGTAGTATCATTTTCTCCTATCTCAACTCTAACTTCTACAAGGAATTTCAGAGAGTTCACAGTTGCCCAGCCATGAGCTGAACTTGAACTCTATTTACATACTTCTCAGAGCACAAGCAGGCATGGCATAGTCTCCAGCTAGCAACTAGCATTTCCCAGCATTAATAACTCGAACGTAGCAGGCAGCCAGAGCATCCCATGCATGAACATTGCAAGTCACAGAGGGTAGATGCCCATGTTATGGAATATCTTGGGAGAAGCTACTTCCTTCTCCACTTTTGGCATCGCCATTTCTGCCTCCCATCCCCCATGCCTGAAAAAACAAGGCTTTTTCTTTTGTATCTTCTCTCTCCTTTAATTTTTTCATGGAAATGGTGATATTTACAAATCACCTTGAATCACCATCTAATATTTTTCAATTATTGCCATGCCTCAATTTCATTTACTTTGTTTGGAAAGATTCGTGCATGCCTGGCTTCTCAGGAACTGAGTGTAGATTCTTTTTGTGGGTCTATTTTTCTTATTATTATAGTGGCCTACTGAAACATATGGAAATGTCAGGGCTTGTAATTAAGAGTTCTTGGATTAAAGCTTTAAGAAACGGTGGTTCTTATTTTGCAAATCCTGAAATCGCCTGTGCTGTATTGCATTCCTTCATCCCAGCTTTCTCTTGCTCTTACTCCATTTCTTCCAAGTCCTTCCTGAGTATTTCCATGAGTGCTGGCAGTCAGCCTGTCTTCAAGACTGACAAAAGGGGGCCATTGGAAATCCTTGCCTTGTCTTATAAGTAAACATATGTGTTAGTTGTGAAAATAAACTTGCATGCAAGAAGTCAACTTTAAAATCTTTTAAAAATCATAATCATGTCTTAGATTTAATACTGGTCATTGGAGCTCTGGTGGCCTAGTGGCAAGAAGCTGCACTGCAGTCCTAAAGGCACGTGGCTCAAATCCACCAGCTGCTCTGCAGGAGAAGGATGGGCAGTCTCCTCCCATGCAATTAACTGCCTCTGAAAACCCTCTGCAGGGTCAGCCATGGGTCTGTTCCAATCGAATTGTTTTCAACAATAATACGGTATTACAAAACAGTTGCTTTTTTAATAAGAGTTGCTATTTTGTTTTTACTAAATGGTTGTATTTCTTCTTTTCAAGCTAAGAAGTCTAGGATTGAGAAGTCACATTCCTACGTCTGCCCCTTATATAAGACAAGTGAACGTAAAGGAACTCTTTCTACAACGGGACATTCTACTAACTTTGTTATCGCAATGCTATTGAAGACAGAGCAGCCTGTTCAGCACTGGATCAAGCGTGGTGTTGCTTTGCTTTGTCAGCTAGATGATTAAACTGGACAAATTTAGAAAACATCTGGAAGAATAAAAATAATTGCTTTCACTTAGCTAAGAACACATACCTGTTACAAAGCCAAGCGTCTGTGCCATCCTTTGTTTGGATCAGTAACTTGAATGGCTCTGCATTGGTCTCCTCAAAAAGAAACAATTCTTTGAAGTGTATGGGAAAATCTTTGAAGCTTTTATTTGCTCCTTTTTGTTTATTTGCTTGATATGTATATGACAACTAGATCTGGGAGGCTAAATGATAAAAAAAAATAACATTATCATTTCCACAAGTGTCATGTTTCTTTTTCCTTTTTTTTTTTGAGGGTAAAATAGTAAAAATAGATTTATTAGAAAGTTACAGCCCCAAAGGGACAGACCTCCCTCACTGAAATAGGGAGAGAGGCTGATGTTTCTTTTTATAAGTAATTGTCATTGATTGTTGTTGTTGAGACTATAACAGCAGAGTGTGCACCAGTGACAGCAGTTGTACATGTTTATTCAGTGACAATTTGACATTCTTCAAGTTGTGCGTCCATCCTCATCCTCTTTTGCTGAGTTGTTTCTCAGCCTTTGACATATGCTGACAGCCCCTATCTAATCTTGTCAGTTGCTGGTGTTACTCTGATCCCATATGGCTAGATCTCAAAAGATAACCAAACTCGGACATTCTTTATGCTAGAATAGCTAGACTATTGGTCTGGTTTTAATAAGGTTTCCAGGGATATTTTTGGCTTAAGGTTTAAGGATGATCTCAGAGCAGTTGTTTCAGGGGGTCAGTCAAACCTCTATGGCTCCAGAAAATCTGGAACCCTGAAAATTTGAAATTGTGTTCCATATAACCCCCCCCTTTGATCAGGATTTTTCTGTTGGATCTTTTAAAACCTATTTAGTAAGTGTAGCTGGAAATCTCCAATTCTGTGTTTGTAGTAAAGGAGGCAGCTGTTCATGAGGCAGTTGGGCACAGTTACTCACACATCCATTTTCTCCTTCTGTTCCTGACTTACCTTCTTTCTCTGTTGCCTTCAGTGAGTACAGATCATTTGTTATGCCTTGGATGGGCATTTGCAAGCTTTTAAGACCCTCAGCACTAAGCAAAGGACTAAGAGGGAGAACATAAACTAAACACATTCAAATGAGGCCAAGTAACTGTGATATCCTATGAAATGCTGACCCTAAACTCCAAGGAACCAAATCCCACAGTCATTTGGCTGTTGTTGACATATTTTGTTGTGCTGCTGTCATCAATATGTCTATCACACAACTCTGTCAATTCAGCTCTTTACAGGTGTACAACTTACTGAGAACAGTTATATTAGTTCACTGTGCAACCTTGCCTTAATGTGATCTTCCCATCACTACAAACTGAAAAGCAGTGCCCTTTAAAATATTACCTTCTCCTACCGCCACCTCCTGACTCAAGCAACCACTGACCAACTTTGATCTCTGTACATATGCCTGTTCTTGTCTTTTTCTATCATTGAAGTCACTATTTGCCCTTTTGTGTTTGACTTATTTCAGTCAGCAATAAGTTCTTCAAGCTCCATCTATGTTGTAGCATGTATCAAGACTTCATTTTTCCTCCAGGCTGCATGTAAGTATGTATCACATTTTGTTTCTCCATTCATCTGCTGGTGAGCGTTTCATTTGATTCCATCTTTCGACCATTGTGAATGTACAGCAGTGAACACTGGTCTGTAAATCACTGGGTCTCAGCTATCAAGTCATATGGGTTTATACCGAAAAGTATAAGTGCTGTCTCATAAAGTACTTCTATGTCTAGCTTTTTGTAAGGAACTGCCCTGCTGTTTTCCACAACTGCTCTGTCATTCTGCATGACCACCAGCAGATTCCCATTCCTCTCCCCTTCCTTCCTTTCTCTCCGTCACCCTTTTTTCTTTGCCATCCTGGTGAGAATGAAATGGTATCTCTTTCTGGTTTTTATTTGCATCTTGTTGATGGCTAACGGTGTTGAGCATCTTTTCATGTGTTTTATGGCCATCTGAATGTTCTCTGCTGAATTTCAAGTCCTCTGCCTATTCTATGATGGAATTATCGGTCTTTTAGTTGTTAAGATTATTATTTTTTTTTACTTCAGTCATAGTTTACTTTCAACTCACATATGTTGAGGTAGTAAATGTGTCAAATACATAAATTGTAAGTAAGAAAATATGAAAACATTTATAGACCTAAATTCCCTAATTTATACTTCTAAAATAGCAGTCCCATTTCCCACGGTGCTCCTGTGACTAGAAGAATCTCAAAGCTGTGGGGTCAACATGGAAAGGCAGACAGAAGGCTGGTGTGCAATCTTGGCTTCTGGCACCTGAGCTGGCGTCTGTGGCTTATGTTACTGGAAATGTAAAGTGCTGCATGGTTTGTTGCGGGTTTTTTGCATGTTTTCTTTTCACTAGTTATACAGTCAGTGGTCATATTACTTAGCATGCACTGATACCATTAGTGTACATTAATAACTGAAAAACCTCTCTAAAAAACAAAATTTAAACTCAGATTTCATCTTTTTACTTCTTTGTTGTTGTTGTTATTGTGTGCTATTGGAATAACTTATAGGTAACTCTCCAGCAGGTTTTCAGAGCAGCAAACCGCATGGGAGACTGTCCATCTTTCTCCTGCAGAGCAGTTGGGGAGTTCAAACGAGGTGCCTTTGAGTTGGCTGTACAACTCCTGACTCACTAGGCCCCAGGCCCTTGGCTATCTTATATATATTTAATTCCCCCCTTTGGAATTCCCAAGACACCTGGGCCACAGCTTCATAACTTAATGGGAAGTTTGGGACATCTGGCCTTTGACTCAGGGACACTGGGACTGCCATTTTTATAGTCCAGTCAGAGCAAAATATTTGACTTAAGTGGAAAACTAACTCTGGTTTGCACAGACCATGTGCCTGAGAAGCGTGAATTTACCTCTCAAGGCCAACCCTCTGCAGAAGCATTTAATCCTGGGAATAAAGTACTTAATCTTTGATTTGATGAATTTAGCAGTGAAGAAAAGAGATCATGTTTCCAAACAGAGTTAAGCCACTTGTGAAAAACAAGGAGAATACGCCAGACTGTCTTATGATCAAGTATTTATAGTAAAGCTATTAATGGAATGGTCACTACCGGGCAGTGCGTATCTCAAATACAAATGAAGATTCTTATTCCGAAGCTTCCGTGTCCTAATCCTTAACACTGAAAACGAAGGTGTTGTTCTCAAGCAATAGCAAAAGGTAAAAGAATAAAAAAAAGGGGGGGGGGATTGTAATCCTAACATGGAGATGTCCTTTTAAAACCATTTAGATATTGCCTGAAGTACATCGTGTATTACTCCCACTATTCATTTTAATACTTATATTATGATAGTGCATTTCTTTCAATAACATGTTTATTTTGAAAGGTTACTAAATAAAGCCTCACTGTTGGCCTACTGCTTAGCACAGGAGACTACAATTGCTGAGGAAGGCTTGCAGGCAAAGTCTAGAACAATCCCATAATAATATTTTCAGTGGTATAATTATATTGAACTAACTGTCCAAGAAAAGGTGTTCTTCTTGAACAAAGGGGTTGTTGTGTTTTTTGTTTGTTTGTTTGTTTTTTGCATGCTGATAGCAAACTTTATTCATAACCACCAAAATCATAAAAGTAACCAGTGCCTGCCGGAGGCCTGGGGGTGGCGGAGGCAGGCTGAGGAGGGAAAGCACAGGATCTTTTTATTTTGGGGATTTTTAATTTTATTTTTTAATAAATTTTTATTAAGTGCTTATTGATTGATACTTTCAATTTATGCTGTACCTGTGGCAGAGCAGAACTGCTGTAAATTTCTGAAAGTTATTGAAATGACTGTTTGGTTTTTAAAATTTTGTACTTTCTTTATTGATTCTGTCAATTTTGTGCTATTCTGAATATCATCTCTAATGTTAAGCAGTTGATAATCTGTTTTTACAATGAGAAAATATTTTTAACTCTTTCTGGCTCTGAAGAAAACCTGTCTGCATTACCCATGGATAATTACACCAGCGATGAAGAGATGGACAATGACTTTGACACCCAGTTCATCATTCAGCAGAGTTTGCAGGATATTTACAAGCTGGGAGCTGCACAGCAAGCACCCAAGGAGGAGAGGTAAAGGCTTACTCCCTGGTGGTGCCACATGAGACTTGTCAGCTTGACTCCAGTGTCCTGACAATGACTTCAACCTGCTGTCATTGAAATAAGGGGCTTGATGTCAATGGATTGTGGGTTGGAACTCACCAGAACTTGTAGTGGTCTGTTTCTGTAAAGACTGAAATTGTTACGTTATCTGAGTCACTGCGGCCCTGCCCAGTCCACACCGTCCTTACACTCTCAGCTCTGCTTAAAGCCCTTGCTGCAGTCTCTGCGTCAGTCCATTCCATTGACTTTGTTCCTCTCTTTTTCAGTCTTGCAAATCCTCCAGGGTTGCCATGATTGAGAATCAACTGAGTAACAGTGAGACTGAGTCATTTAAATATAAGACTTGATACCTGGTTTGGGGTAGAGTGGGAAAGAATTCCTACATTAAGGAGACAATAAGTAATTGAAGGTGGCGAGCAGCAAAGCAGTAAGCCAGGGAGCAGAGGAGTGAGAGTCCTGGGCTGAGAGGCTCCATAGAAGAGAGATAAGACAGCCGGCTTCCTGAAAGAGTTATAACCTTAGACTGCTTGGAATACACCCCAAGAAAATTAGAAAGGAGATACACAGGGAGATTTGGACACTAATGTCCATAGCAGTGTTATTCACTATCACAAAATTAACAGCCCAAAAGTCCATCTACAATCCAATGGATTGAGAAATTGTGGTACATTCAGATGATGGAATACTACACAGCATGCAGGAGCAATGATTTTGAAAATCACTACTTAACTTGGGAAGGACTGGAGAGCATTATGCTGAGTGAACTAACTCAGTCCCATAAGGACAAATACCGTATAAGACCATTACTGTAGAAATGGAAAGATAACTATGTGTATGAGGATCCGGGGGAGGGAAGATAGGAGGAGAGGGATGAGAATGGGCAGAGGGGTAATTTTAGGGTCTACAATTTGATGGGCAGAGGGAGAGGCAGGTAAAGGAAATGGAAAGATCTTGTGTGAAAACAATGTATATCAACTTTGTAAGCAAAAAAAGTATAAAATAAAAATTTTATTTTAAAAAAAAATTAAATTAAGGGTATTCACCACTCTGGCATCTTAACGTTTGAGTTCTCAGTTGCTTACTAAAGGTTGACAGTTCAAATACACCTAGCAGCTCCTTGAAAGAAAACAGGCAACCTGCTTCCCCCACAGATTACAGTCTAGAAAACTCTAGAGGACAACTCCATTCTGTCACATGAATCAAAACAGACTAGGCAGCACCTAACAACAACCATCAGATAGCCTGAAAACAGGGAGAGGAGCTGGGGTGACCTGGGAGCCCTATAGTGGGAGAGAGACAACCAAAGAGATGGCAGCAGAAGGACATGGCTCAGCACTGCTGGCTTTGATGGAGAAGTGGTGCTGGGAGACCAGAAACGGGGCATCTCCAACACTGGAAAAGGCCAGGAGCACATTCTGCCCTGGAACCTCCAGTAAACAGGGGGCAGTGTTAGCCATGAGCACCTTTGCACGTTGTTTTATATCAGATACCTTTTCCCTGTCTTAAAATTACATGTGTATCACACAGTGAAAGGATTTTTTTTGTTTTCTTTTTTAAAAAATTATTTTTATCTTAACGTTTACAGAGAATTTGGATTTCCAATTCATTGTTGCACACTTTCCTCCCTGCCCACCCCTCACCCCAGTTCAATTTTTTCTTTGAAAAGTATATTAAAAAATTCTTGCACTGTTTTACAATCCTCCCAACTGCAGTCCACTCCACTGTGCAGCTTTCATTCTGGACTCTTGTCATGACAATAATACCTAATCACATATCCCTTTTAAACAGTTCTCTCTCTCTCTCATCTGTTTCAATGCTGTATACATTATTTATCTCCTCTTAGTTTTCCCCCAACCCCAATGTCAGTCCTGTTTTACAACCGTGGCACTACGCAGTGTTTGTCCTTTTGTGACTGAGATATTTCACTCAGCATAATGTCCTCCAGAGTCACTCATTTTGAATAATATTTCAGGAGTTCCTTGTTTTTCAATGCAGTATAGTATTCCATTGTGTGAATATACCACAGCTTCTCTATCCATTCGTTGATCGGCACCTGAGTTGTTTCCAGCTCTTTGCTATAGTGAACAAAGCTACAATAAACATGGGTGTGCGTAAATCTGCTTGGGTAGTAGTTCTGGTTTCTTTAGGGTATATTCCCAGTAGTGGAATTGCTGAGTCAAATGGTATTTCTATTTCCAAGTTTTTTGGAAAACCCCATAGTGCCTTCCATAGTGGTTGCGTCATTTTACACTCCCACCAACAGTGAATAAGGGGTTCCAGTTTCTCCACAACCTCACCAGCATTTGTTGTTTGCTGTTCTGTTAAATTTTGCTATTCTTACTGGGGTGAGATGATATCTCATAGTTGTTTTGATTTGCATCTCTCTTAGAGCTAGGGATTTTGAACATTAATTCATGTGTTTCTTCACCATCTGACTGTCTTCTTTGGTGAAGTGTCTGTGTTCGTATCCTGTGTCCATTTTTAAGTTTATCTTGTTGTGGTGGAAAGAATTTTTTTTAAGAGAAAAGCAAATTGCCAGGGATAGGGAGGAAAATGTGCAGCAATGAATGAATGGAAATTCAAGTTTTCTGTAAATTTTTGTTAAAATATCAATAAAAACAACTTTTGAGGGTTTTTTTTTTGTAATTTTATTATTTTTTGTGTGTGTACCGTCAAATCAGATCTGACTAGTACAGTAGGAGATTGCCCTTCCTTCTCCGACAAAGCATCTGGTGGTTCAAACAGCACACCTCTGGGATTGCAGTGCAGCTTCTTGCCACTAGGCCACCAGAGCTTCCGAATAAAAATTAATGTTTTTTAAAAAGAAGGAAATGCTGAACGAGTTCAGGCTCTTTTGGAAAAAAATAAATAAGTTCATTCATTCATTCATCCATCCATTAACATGTGTATCTACTTTTCCTCCTAAGCAGCTTCCATTCTTTTTTGAGTGCTGACTATAAGAAGATCGTTGAAACAATAGAGACAGTTAAGTACTCCTCTTATTCCTTCTCCTTGGACTTGTGAGCTATCACAATGACAGTGGCAGCATTTCTCCTCTGAGCTCAGCAAACCTGAAAGGAGACTTTCAGATACTGACCACTGATGGCCGCTGATGACCAGGCGTCAGTGTGGCTTCTCCTGAGGGACAGTGCCGTAGCTTAACTCAGCAGAGGCCCTGGCTCCTCCCTGGATGGAGTGGGTTTTCCCTGTATGAGAAGGCCAGAAGGATTCAGAGGCGCTTGTGGGGTGGAAAGACTTTGATGAGAGGCCTTGCTGTGTCACTATGTCATTTAAATGTGTCTTCCATAAAAGTTGGTACTAGAATTCATTTGTCTCTGGACCACTGGAATTATGGTGGAATTCAGACGTAGTGTGGGCTGCCTTGTCTCTGTGCCAGATGTGAATCCTTCCCATCTGACTTGCTAATAGGCGAGGAAGACGCATTGACACACTTGACCAAGTACCATTCCGCTTTTGACGAGGCAGATGGGGTGGGCTGGCTTCCTCTGCATAAGGCTGCGGTGCAATTAAATAAGAACATTCTGGCAATAACCCTGACAGGTAAACTCCCCTTCAAACTCTCCTTGCTTCCTTTGAACAGGAACTATAAAACTGATTTCTAAACACTAACCTGTGTGGTCCAATGGATTTGTTTCAGCTTCAAAACCCAGTACTTGGGAGCAAACCACCCACAGCGGTGAAACCCCACTGTTTCTGGCCGTCAGTAATCACCTCTTAGAAAATGCCAGCTTTCTTCTCGTCAGTGGGTGTAATCCAAACGCTAAGAATTTCGAAGGCAACTCTCCACTTCTTACAGGTAAGGTGTCACCTTAGCTCTAGAGAAGAGCGTATGGCTTTGAGTCTGCTCCATGTCCACAGGTTTCAAAGGCAGCCTTTCTGGTCTTTTTCAGTAGGCTGATCTGGGAGGTGGCTCGTTAAGGTAACTGATTCCGCATGGTGATTCAAAGGAGCCAGTTACTTTTTGTAAAGATGCAAACAAACAAATAATTAAGATGTAGAGGACAGCAAAGAACTGGAAGCAGCAGCCAGTAGAGAGGAAGTCGGGCCTGGGTAAAGATGAGATTGATCATAGGTGACACATGTTTTCCCCTCCTGGATCTGATTTTATGAAATTATGATTGAGTAATGGTTTTAATGGCAATGGTACCCTTGGTACCAGCAGTCAGAAATCAGGAAACATATTGCGTTAGGCAAGTCTGCTGCCAAGGACTTCTCAAAAATTATGAAGAGTAAAAAAAAAAAAAAAAAATAAAAAAATTATGAAGAGTAATGATGTCAGTTTGAAGACTAAGGTGTGCCTGATTCAGGCCATCTACTTCTCATTCACCTGCTATGCATCAGAAAGCTGGTCAATGAATAAATAAAGATGCCTTTGAGCTACTGGAGAAAAGTACTGAAAATTCCATGGACTGTCACAAGAACAAACAGACAGTTTTAGGAAAAGTTCAGCGAGAGTGATCCTTGGAGGCAAAAATGGTGAAGCTTAATGTTTCATACTTTGGACATGTAGCTGTGCGATGCTATTCATTGGAAAGGGACATCATGCTTGGAAAGATGGGGGTCAGCAAAGCTGAGGAAGACCGCCAACAAGATGTATTGGCATGGTGACTTCAGCAATGGGCTCTAGTGTGTCAGATGATGAGAATGGCACAGGCTGAGGCAGGTTTCAGGTTGGCTGTTCATAGGGATGCTATGAGTCATATTCGACTCAATGGCACCTACCACCACCACCACCAGTGGTTTTAAATCAACACCCTTGGTACCAGCAGTCAGGAGAGCAGGATATGTATTGCAATGGGTAAGGGGACCTCTCCAAAACACTGAAGAGCAATGATGTCAGTTTGAACACTCAGGTGTGCCTGATTCAGGCTATCGTCTTCTCAATCAGAGAGCTGGACAACGGCTAATGATGATAAAAGAATTGCGGTTCTTCACTCCTTCACTGATTCTCCACCATTCCACGTGTGATGTCCTCTTCTGAGGCCAGGACTCTCCTAACAACATGCCTTAAGTACAAGAGATGAAGCTTCACTAATCTTGCCTCCAGGGAGCACCCGACTGTACCTTTCCAAGACAGACTTGTTTGTTCTTTTGGCAAACTGTGAGCTATTCCACACTCTTCTCCAACACAACTGAAAGCATTGATTCTTCTTCTGTCATCCTTATTTATTGTCCAGTTTACCTGCATAGCAAGTAAATGAGAAGTTTATGGCTTAGACCATGTGTACATTAGTCTTCAAACTGACATCATTGTTCTTCAGCACTTTGGAGGGGTCCCTGACAGGAGTCTCTGCTAATGCAACATGTCTTTTGATTTCCTGGCTGCTGGTGCCAAGCATGTTAATTATGGATCCAAGAAGGATGAAGTCGTTCACAGTTTCAGTATTTTCTCCACTTACTATGATATTGCCTATTGGTCTAGTGGTGAGGATTTTTGTTTTCTTGATGTTGGGATGTAATCCACATTGAAGACTGCAGTCTCTGACTCTCTGCAGCAAGCACCTCAGGTTCTCACTTTCAGCATACAAGGCTGTGTCTTCTGCATAACACAAGTTGTCAATGAGTATTTCTTCCAATTCTGAAGCCACATTCTTCTTCATATAGCCCAGCTTCTTAAATTATTTGCTTCATACCTGTGGAGCAAGGATATAGCCCTGATGCACACCTTCCCTGTTTTGAAACCATGCAGAGTTCCCTGCTTTGTTTGTACCACAGCCTCTTGGTCTAGGTCTACATATAACATGAGAACAGTTAAGTGTTCTGAGACTCTTATTCTCAATGTCAGCCATACTTTGTTAGGAACCACACAGTAAAAAAGCCTTTGCAAAGTCAATAAAACACAAATAGACATCTTTCTGGTAGTCTCTGCTTTTGACCAATGGACAATATATTTGTCTTGGTTTGCAGAAAAAAATAAATAGCCCATTTGCATAAAGCATTATTAGTATTATATATATATATATAGTATAATTTTAATGTTTCTCAAGTAAAAACCTTGTTATTTTTGTGTACCATCGAGTTGGGATCAACCAATAGCTGGTTTTTCAGAAGCAGTTAATCACAGGGGAGGAGATTGCCCATCCTTCTCCCACAGAGTGGGGCTCTGGTGATCTAGTGGTTAGAAGCTACAGTCCTGAGGGCACGTGGTTCAAATCCACCAGCTGCTCCACAGGAGAAGGATGGGCAATCTCCTCCCCTGTGATTAACTGCCTCTGAAAACCCACTCAAGGGCCAGCTATGGGTCGATTCCGACTCGATGGTACACGACAACAAGTTCCATGAAGACCGCCAGAGCGAGGTATTAAATAGGATGGACAGCCCTGTTAAAAAGCTTGAACTGAATGCCCACCTCATTTCTGCTCTGCTAGCTGTTCTGCATGACTCCTATGACATGGCCACCTTGCTGATCAGCCATGGGGCAGATGTCAATCTGCGCTGTGCCAATGAGAGGACAGCTCTCCACGAAGCAGCCAAGCTGGGCAGACAGGACCTCGTGACGCTTCTGTTGGCTTCCGGGGCACATCCAGACCCACGGAGCACCTATGGTTTCACTCCTCTTGCTCTTGCGGCCCAGAGTGGACACACGGAAATCATGGAGCTATTGCTGCGGAAAGGCAAGCTTTGCCATGTGGTCAGGACACCGGTCCCAGTGTCCTTCTCTAGAGGAGGAGTTCAAAATAGTGGGAAGAACACAAAACCAAAGCCCTGGTGGGGTCGATTCCAGCACAGCAGCTCTTCACCAGGCTCCTGTGGCTGTAAATTTCACAAGAGGAGACTGCCTGTCCCGCTCCTTCAGCCCACAGACGTCGGTGGATTCGAACCACCAATTTTTCAGTTATCAGCCCAGCATGTAACACAGTACACATTCGTAAGTAAAATGAAAGTCACCGTGTAAGCCTACAAAGATAAAATTACATTCACTGATAGCTCTGCTGGGAAAATCAAGTATAAATTCGCCTTTTGGGTGAAGTAATAAGGAGCCTTGGTGGTATAGTGGTTAAGGTTCTCATCTGCTAACCTAGAGATCAGAGGTTTGAACCCAGCAGCAGTTCTGCGAGAGAATGACGTGGCAGTCTGTTCCGTGGAGCACACGGAGCAGTTCCTCTGTGGACTGTGTGGTGCTCTGAGTGTGAAGTGAATTACCAGGATGTAGATGTTCTTTGCCTATGATAAGATGATATTTTTTTAATCTTGGGGGGTGTTGTTCTTTTTGTAGAATCGCAGACTCAAAGACCCCGTAACACCCTCCATTTGTTGTCTCTGCTTAATTAAACTAAGCCATTAGGCAGACTGCTTCAGTTATCAGATGTTATCAGATGGCATCAGTTGTTAGATTTCTCTCCCTGGGCCCCAGAGCCTTCATTGAGTGAAGACCAAACCCTGAGAGAGGAAAGGCAACTCCCTGATACTGTTTCCTAAGGACAGAGACTGGGCTGTGTGTGCTGCCTTCTGTCGATCCCCAGAAACCCAGTGAGTTTGGTGTTGTCCTCCAGAAAGTGGGTCAGATGTGACATCGGGGTGGCAGGTGCTCAGTTCACTCTAAAGATGCTCCCTCCTGTTCCCAGCACTGTTGCTGTGACCATTTAGGTTCCAGATTAAAAGGCAGAGACCCAAAGAACAGATAGCTTTACTGTTTATTGTCTTTGTCCATCCTAACCAATGACATTGTTAGATAGCTAACTTGATGGATAGCTAAATCTTTATTTTGTCAAAGAAGTTTTATAAAGACTTCATAAATTCCCAATATCAGTGTACCTTTTTCATTCTCATTTGTATCCAGAAGCCTGTTTCTTCCTTTAACAACACCTGGTCCTGGTTTCAATCATTATCAATTGTGAACAAGCCAAGCCCACTGCCCAGGGCTGGTTCAAGCCAAGCCCACTGCCCAGGGCTGGTTCAAGCCAAGCCCACTGCCCAGGGCTGGTTCAAGCCGAGCCCACTGCCCAGGGCTGGTTCAAGCCGAGCCCACTGCCCACGGATGGTTCAAGCCGAGCCCACTGCCCACGGGTGGTTCTGACTCCCAGAGCTCCGTGGCTCCCCAGGCTGTGAGTCTTTGATGGACTCATCTTTCCCCTGTGGAGCAGCTGGTAGGTTCGAACCTAAGATCTTCTGTTAGCACTCCAACATTTAACCCATTGCCCTGCTGGGGTACCTTTCTAGACAGCAAAGACCTTAGTATTTAAAGATAGTCTTGAGCTTTTAGGCAAATGTCTTAAAGTAGAAGCTAGTTACCTATCAATGGCCTGAGACATTTTAAATAAAGTGTTTTTAACTAGTAACAGCAGAAACGCCTGCAGTCTTCAGCTGAGAAGACAAAAGTAAACCTCTGGGGCAAGACTAACCTTTTGTGTAGATTTTTAACATAGAAAGTAGTGGCAACAGATCTTATGCCCCTTTTCGTCCCAAGAAACCATCATTGGTAGTAGGGTCAGGATTTGAGCCCGCACCTAATTGCAGATCACATTCTTTTTCCACCTTGTGCTGCTGGAGCGGCAACAGGGCATCAGGAAACAGGCCCCAGGGCTGGCCGACGAGAAGCCGGTTCCATCGCTCAGTGGCTGTGTCTCTGAGGAACAAACCTCAGCTTCTCCATCTTGAAAATGTCAGGATTAGCACCTGCTTTTCAGATTGCTGTAAAGTGCACAAATCACGTGCGCAAAGGAAGATGCCTTCGGGGACCGAACACTCAGTAAACGCAGCATATTGGCGTATCTCGTGGGACGTTCTAGGAATGAGGCAATCGGGCGGCGGCTGCACCTGACGCCTCTTGGGGCCTGCGTCTCACCTGAGCGCTAAGTGCACCCGCCACGCCCTGGCCTTTTGTCCACTCAGTGCTAGCCTTTTTTTTTTATTATTAAATTTTAATTTTAATGAACATTTACAGAGATTTGGGGTTTTCATTCATTGTTGCAAGTGCTAGCCTTTGAGTCCATTTTACTGAGAACCTTTCCACACCTGACCCACCCCTTAGCCCTGACCTTGCGTTCCAGGACGTTTTGCCTAAACCCATGTCCACGTCGCCTACACCAGTCACATGACACCTGGCGGGGTCCTGTGATCCACTAACTCAGTGTCTGTTACTATAAACCATCTCCGAGAACCTCCCCATGAAAGCATGTCCTGACGACATGGCGAGTTGTTGGCACCATCTTACATGCACGTGAGTTGTGTGTGAACTTATCTGCGGGCTGCTCTGGAATCTATAAAAACTTTCTTCATAAACTTATTTCCACATGAATTTTCAAAGCCTAAATAAGTAGTCCTTTAAAATCACTTTGAGTATCTATCTAGTTAAAACTTGGCCACTGTACGTCTTTCTCCCCAGCTAGATTATGAGAGATTATTTTTATTTCTTTTGATTCTTAGAGCTTTGGTGCACAGAAAAGCAGACAGACATATTTTTAAGATTGCTTAAGCAAGACAGTGAGTAAGAATATTTTCATGACAAGACTCTCCTCCTAGGAGCCAGCGCTCTGGGTCAGGCCTCGGATTCTTCTTCCATCTTACTTGAAGCTGCCAGTGGAGGAAATCCAGACTCCGTGTCTCTGCTGCTGGAGTACGGCGCTGATGCCAACATCCCTAAGAATTCGGGCCACCTGCCCATCCATGTGGCAGCTGACCGAGGCCACTTATTGTAAGTTCACCTACAATACTATAAATAAGACAGTCATAGCTACCATTTTTCAGCAGCCCCTGCTAACTTTATGTTCATCTTTGCCCCTCCCATCCTTTTTTAAGGGGAGGGATTTTTTTTAAGAAGTGATAGTGTTTTACTTTATTGTACAAAGGATCACTATGAGTCAGAACCAATCTAATACCTTCTGATAACATAATTTATCCAAGAATTCTGTATTTGATTCCTAGAATGTAAGACCTCTTCATAAGCTACAAAGATGTAAAGCCACTTGAAGAAACTACTGTATCAGGTCCTGAGCAATGTAGGAGCCTCAAGTCTCACCCAGGACAGTTCTGAATTTTATAATCCAAGCAGTCGTTGCATTCAGATTTATTTGGTTCTAGAGTTTTGGGTGTAAAAATTACACGATGTTGTTGTTGTTGGGGGCTCTAAGTAGCATCTAATACTAGTACAAAAAGCATCTTAACAAAAACGGGTTTTCATTTCTCTCAGGGCTCTGAAGATCTTGGTTCCTGTTACGGATTTTGCTGCCATCAAGCAGAGTGGGATCAGTCCTATTCACTGTGCAGCTGCAGGCGCACACCCTGAGTGCCTGGAACTTCTCCTCCGGGCTGGGTTTGATGTGAACTTCATGCTTGATCAGAGAATCCGCAAACACTATGATGACCAAAGGAAGTCAGCTTTGTACTTTGCCGTATCAAATGGTGACCTTGCTTCAGTGAAGCTGCTTCTGACTGCTGGAGCTCTCCCCAACCAAGACCCTGTTAACTGCCTTCAGATCGCCCTGAGGATGGGCAACCATGAGCTGGTCAGCCTACTGCTCCGACACGGGGCCAACGTCAACTACTTCTGCAGAGTGAACCCTTTACATTTCCCATCGGCCCTGCAATACACCTTGAAAGATGAAGTCATGCTCAGAATGCTGCTGAACTACGGGTACGACACAGAGCGATGTTTTGACTGTCCCCATGGGGACAAAGTCCAACCAGTGTATGTTTTTGAAGGCTGGACATCAACAGTTATCAAAGATACGATGGTAAGTTCACATCACCGGCTCTAATCTCTTCTGTAGTCCTGAAACTACAGCAGCTACAGCAGTAAGATTTCAACCACCCTTTCCAGAAAGCTCATGGTTGAAAAGTTCTAGTAAAGTAACTCCAGCATAAGATAAACCCAGTTAGAAGGGAGATTTTTAGATACAAAAACAGCTCAAAGGAGAACATGAGATGCCAGGAGGTTTCTCCTGTGTCTCTTCACAGGCGAGGTTTTGAAGAATGCAGTCTTGTGTGCCAGTTCTGCTTTAAGTCAGTTTTCCAACCAACTGCTTCTGGGTTCCCAATATCTATACCTCTAAGTTTTCAGCTCTCTCTTTGAGCTCCCCTCAATGAGGCCTCTTCCTGTCCACTTGATCTAAAGTAGCACCCTTCTTGCATTCTTTTATCAAGCTATTCCTTTTCATAGTACTTAATACTATACAAAATTATTTTACTTACTGTGGTTTTACTTATGATAAGTTTTACTTATTGTGGGTCCCTGCAAACATAGGAACATAAGCTGTATCATCACTTTCTTTAGTTTACACGTATGCTTAGCACACAGGAGATGCTATACGAATACCTGAATTTTTATCTACATGATTATCAAACTGTATATAAAATGCACACAAACGGTATTAAAATGTGAAAACAGATACCAACTGGTGAACTGCAGGAAGCACCATGAACCAATCCTGAAAATAAAACAGCAAAATATTGTTGCCATTTTAATACGGCTTGATTTTTAGATTATGACTGTTTCTGGTGTTTCCAAAACACTACGCATTTACGCCTATATCCTCTTGTATTCCTTCCTAGTTTCTTAACGTAGCATTACTTACATCTCATATGGGCATCTTGCCTCTGAGAACGTAAATTCCTTAAAAGCACGTATGGCCTAGTCCTCAGGAATGGGTGAAATCGAGTGTAGTGTGACTGCTGGAAACAGAGTGGCTTTTCCCTCCAATAGATAAAAGGGAGGAGGAAAGTGCTTCATTTTCTTCTCCCATAGCGAAGTGCAGAGGTAACTAAGCCTCCTGTGGGCAGCTCTGCTATCACGGTCATGCTAGGAGGGAGGGTGAGAGGTGCTGCACATACCACACTGGGGTCCAGCACACCCTGTGAACCAACAGTGTCACCCCTCCCCACGAGGCCTCACCACTGAACAAACCATACGGAAGCATGGCATGTTTATTATCCATTTTAATCACAGAAGAGCATGTGAAATAGTTGTGAAGTGCTTACATGTAGTATTTCTTAAATTCTATGATTACACAATTTTTTTATATTGTTCTAAACTGAACTACACATTAGTAACTGTCAGAAGGTGTTTTGAATTTTCTTTTACCAAAAATTTTCCAAAAAGCAACCGACACAGGTTTCCACACACTAATGGTCACAATATTGCAGCAAAAACACCAGACAACCTGCATCCGTGGCCATGGGAACTCCAGCACCAGCCAGAGCCACCCGGCTTGTGGTGCAGCCAATGACCTGCAGGCCTGGGGTGCCACTGAAATGCAGCAGAAATGGCAGCTCTGGCCCACGTGCATTAGAAAGCAAATGAACAGCCTTTGCAAAGAAAGTGTAAAAATAAATGCAAGTAAGCTGATCTTACTATTTTTGCTGTTTTGCCTGCCTAGAGATATTTATGCTGAAGCACCGCACTAAATGTTACTCCAATGTCACCCTGACAGTGTTACCTGGTACTGTCCAGGCCCTGCCTGAGTCACCACTGCTGTGAGCTCCTCTTACTCCCACTTAGGTCTCAGGGGCCAGAACTTCACATGTGACACGTTCACCACAGTGACACAGGAACCTATTCTTTATTGCAGACAAGCAGATGGAGAGTACACAAGGGCTGACAGATAGCATGAAACGACTGTCAGCCTATTACATCTTCCACAGTTCTCAAGGCGGTAAATGCTTTCTTGATTTTAGTGTTAAGGTGTTTTTGCCTTAGTTTATAAATGAGAAGCTCAAGACCTTGGTTCCTGGCTCTAAGCTGTGTCCTTTGGTGAACCAAGCATACATGCTGCTTTTCACTGATTGTCACTCTATTTTCTTCCTCAGTTCTGTGAAGTGATAACTTTGTCTTGGCTGCAGCATCTCTCTGGAAAGGTTGTCCGTGTGATGCTTGATTACGTTGATCAGGTTCGGATCTGTTCAAAGTTGAAAGCTGTGCTCCAAAAACAGGGGCTCTGGTCAGAAATCAATTTTATCTTAAGTAAGTTTTTTCTCCCCGTAGAAAACACCAAAAATACAAATTGTTTTCTCATTTACTTTTAATGAATGCTTTTCTGTTCTGATTAAAAAGCTTGACCTAAGGTGGGGGTGGAGACTATTCCTAACTAGAAAACGTTACTGTTTAGAATTATACTTAACTTCTACTTTTTATCATTTCCCAGTAGATGCAATCCATTAGGGAGCTGCCTTTTCCATGGGTAGGGAATGCTTTCCCCCCCAATCCACCTAAACCATGAGGAAGGGGCACTGCAAAGACAAGAATTAAAAGCTATGAAATCGTAGGGTCACACAGTTTGATGGGTGGAAGAAGGGGCAGTTAGAGGAAGTAGGAAAGATCCGGTGTGAAGAACAGTATACATGAACTTTGTAAACAAATATAAAATTAAAATTTTATTTAAATTTTTTAAAAACCCACAAAAAACACCCTAGCATATACATTAAAATATCTGCGAATAGTAAAAAAAAAGCTATGAAATCAGAACCAAAAGTGATGAGAAAAGGCTGTATGATGACACCTAAGCCTGTAGGGTATTAAAAGGTATCCTCCAAACAGTATTTTATAGCAGTACATAAATCAAATTAATAATTATTTCATCACATTTCCCTCTAGAAAGGGATATTCAGCTTTTAGCTTATAAAGAGAGTCAGAAAGGGGGATTAAAATATGATTTTAGATGACAAATCAGAACCAAACAAAGCCAGTTATCAGATTTACCTCGTCCTGGCTCTGAAACCATCCTTCTACCACTCAATGAAAACTGTGGTGGTCTCAGTATAAAGTAGACTTGCTCACTAAACCCAGAGATCACTCAAAAACAAAGCTATCTAGTTCTCCTTTGGGTAACACGCCTGTTTCTCCCCTTTCAGCTAACCCTCGCTCCCTCAAACATTTGTGCCGCCTAAAGATCCGGAAGTGTATGGGACGCTTACACTTGCGCTGCCCCGTCTTCATGTCGTTTCTCCCACTACCCAATCGTCTGAAAGCGTACGTCCTCTACAAAGAATATGACCTATATGAACAACGAATTTTCACAGGAACCTGGTAATCAAAGTAGTCTAGTGGAAAAGGTATAATTATGCAACTGTATTTCAATAAAGCCCGAACAGTAAAATTTTTTTAAAAGCAATTAATTCAAACAAGCCTAAGTGTTTATTGCTCTGAAGTGTATGAATCCACACTTTCCCATGCTCAAAATAATAGATGGGCTCTGATGATTCAAAATTCTTAACAGTAATCCTTTTTATAAAAAAGTACTTACAAAAAATGTTGTTATAGGTGGCATATATATTTGCCCCAGATATATGAGGCCAAAGGTAGCTAGTTTTGTGTGGAAGTCCCAATGCCATCTTGGAGGTGCATAGGCTTTTCTCACTGGTCAAATGCTGAGGTAAGAATATAATTGAGGGAAAGGAAATAGTCCTTCATCTGAAATTTCTTTTTTTCCCCCAATTTTATTATTATTTTTTGTGTGTACCATCAAATCAGATCTGACTGGTACAGGAGGAGATTGCCCCTCCTTCTCCAGCAGAGCATCTGGTGGATTCGAACTGCGTACCTCTGGGACTGCAGTGCCGCTTCTTGTTACCAGGCCACCAGAGCTCCCCTAAGAAATTTCATTTTTAATCAAACACAAATCTCCTATTTTCCCAGTACCTGGCTATGAGTTACATTTACCAGTAAAGAAGGATACATACAGAAATGAAAATTCCAAGTATTTTCAGATGGAATGAATGAGATCTGAATGCTTCAACATACTCAACCTGGCACAGTATTGGACCTATAGGCGAGGCCCACTGATAGAAGCAATTTTAAGACTAGTTTAAATTTTTACTTCTACATACCCTAAACTACATCTAATGATAGGTTTTTACAGAGAAAAAGTAAAAAACAGAGAAGCCATACTGAAACAGCATTCAGGTAGCACATTAGCAGGAACAAGGAGATGGGAGATTGTTTCCGCCATCAGGCTAGTCAGCTATAACCTTGTGCTTCCGTGGCTAGTCTCTGGATAGTTTCAAAGCAGGATATGTGACCTTAACTGACTTTCTTTTGATATAGGGATTTATGACCATATAGCCTATGCCAGAGTTAAATTGTTTTTAGCAGTTTTAGTTCTTAAAACTAGCTGTCATAAAGTTTTTCTTTTAAAAAAAATCAAATTGTGATGTCCAGTGAGTAGTAAATTCTATATGCATGTCAGTGTACCATGTCTTTACGACACACCTGAGCCTACATCACAACTGAGGAGCCCTGGGAGAGGAGGAGCTCTGGTGGCCTTGTGGCTAGGGAGTTGCACAGCTAACCCAAAGCTGCACTTCTCTGCCAGTTCAAATCAATGAGTGGCTCCTGGGGAGAAAAATCTCACATGATTTATAGCCCAGGAAAACCTGCTGGTGGGTCAGCTGGGAGTTGGTTCCAACTCCATGACAATGAGGGTTTTTTTTATATGAGGTAGAGTAGAGGTTAAAGCACTAGGCTGCTAACTGGAAGGTATGACGTTCATACCCACAAGCTGCTCTGCAGGAGAAAGCGGCAGTCTGCTTCAGTCCAGCTTACCAGAACCAGGAAGGCCTGTGGGGCAGTTACGCTGTCACAGGGCCATCCGGATGAGTCACAGTCAACCTGATGTCAGTGGATTTGGTTTTGGAATATTAGAGTTACCTACATAATGTTCATTTTATTTACTTCCTAGACCTTCTTAAAAGTATATAAACTTCAGACCAAATTAGAATATAAACTCCTAACACAAGAAAAAGGCTGACAAATATCATTAACATGTTGCCATACTTTTAAATTGACAACCATGCTTAGAAACACATCCTCCCCACCCTCCCACCAGGTATTACTGTCATTTGAGGCAATGTGTTAAATACCACAGCATGTAGGTGGAGTAAGTTATGGGGATTCCTTTAATTAGGAGTGAACAGCAGCAAACACATATTGTCTCTACCATGTCCAGAGTAATTACTGGTAGTTCTCTTTCTAGCCTATAAGAGAAAAAAAAGTTGATAATGATGAAATCAGCTTTCTTCTAAAGAAGTTTCCCAACAAATGGCAGAGATTTTTGTTTTGCTTTGCTTTTAGCTGTTAAGGAATGGCAATGGGGTAGATGTGTAATTATAGTGTCCAAACCAAAAAAGTCCAATTCTTTTACATCATTTGAAATTACTTGGGGAAAGAAAATTCAGGCTATATATTAAATATCTCATACAAAAACCATGGATTTTATGTCTATCTGTGATTCATTGACTATGCAAAGGCTTTTGACTGTGTGGATCACAACAAGCTATGGCTGACTCTGAGAAGAATGGGAATACCAGAACATCTGATTGTGCTAATGCAAAACCTATACTTGGACAAAGAGGCAGTCATCAGAACAGAGCAGGGAGACACTGGATGGTTCAAAATCAAGAAACGGATCCGTGAGGGATGTATTTTGTCTCCATACATTTTCAATCTATATGTAGAACAGATCATCCAAGACGCTGGGCTGTACAAGGAGGAATGTGGCATCAGAATTGGTGGGAAAATCGTCAACAACTTGCATTATGCAGATGACACAACCCTGCTCGCTGAAACTGAGGAAGGACCTGAAGCACATGCTGCAGAAGGTCAAGGACTACAGTCTTCAATATGGATTGAAGCTCAATATCAAGAAAACAAAGATTCTCACCACTGGGCCAATTGGCAGCATCAGTATGGATGGTAAAGAGATTGAGATAGTTAACAGTTTTCGTTTACTTGGCTCCATAGTCAACACTCTTGGTAACAGCAGCCAGGAAATCAGGAGACGAATTGCATTGGGAAAGTCAGCTGTGAGGGACCTCTCAAGAGTACTGAAGTGCAACGACGTCAGGCTGGAGACTAAGGTGCACCTGATCCAGGCTACAGTCTTTGCAATTACGTGCTATGCATCAGAGAGTTGGACAGTGACTAGGGATGATAGAAAGAGAATTTAATGCCTTTGAGTTGTGGTGCTGGAGAAGAGTGTTGAATATACCATGGACTGCTAGGAGAACAAACAGCTTTGGCCTGGAGAGGGTGAAGCCAGAATGTTCCCTGGAGCCAAGGATTCTGAAGCTTCGTCTGATATACTGTGGGCATGTTGCAAGGAGGTCCTTGGAGGTCCTTGGAGAGGGACATCATGTTTGGGAGACTGGTGGGACAGCGCAGGAGAGGAAGACCCTTGATGAGCTGGATCGATTCTGTGAGTGTAGTGGTGGGAATGAATGTGTTTGAGACACTGAGGTTGGCACAGGATAGAACGGCGTTTAGGGCTCTTGTACACAGGGTCGCTATGAGTCACAAACGACTCGATGGCACATAACAACAACAAACAACAAAATACAAAAACCATGGATTTTATTATACATTAAAAAAATTCTTTCTACCAGTATATTTCTGGAAGCCTTGTCAGCAAATACCTATTTTAACAAAATGAGGAAATAAGGCCTCCTCCCCAGTCACCACCATCACAGAAAGAGAGGAATTCTTCCAATCCAATCCTAAAGGGCAATGTTGCATGATTTTTAATTCTATGCTGCATGATTAATAGTATCAATGATAGTAGAAGAATGAACCAATTAATTTACATTACAGAATCACCAAGTATACAAAGCAGATTTGCACATTAGTCATAACTTAATCCCCAGCTCTCATACTGATAGAAGTTAATTACACAAGTACAATCACAAGAGATTGGTTAAAAAGTATATTTCCAGTTTAAAACTTTTATGTATTATTATAATTAATAATTAAACTTCATGAATCTTTATGTATTATTATAATTAGTAATAAAACCTCAGGAAACAGGAAGTCAAATTTGCTAAAAATAAAATTAAAAGTGTGCAACAATAGGTTTGTCTGAATTTTTGAAGTACAGTTTGAATGTTAGGAAGTTACTCTCAAAACTAATTCCTATTTTCATTGTATTAATTCAGGTGGCAGATTTTTGAAATACACATAAGTGTCCGTCAGCATTTATATTAATCACATTTTAAATATTTGTGGTTTGTGGATATAACTTCAAATGCCTTGCCATAGAAAAGTGGATGGTTGTACAGGATGTTACCACATCTCACTGTTCTTTTCCCAGGCATGGAAGTCACAGAAACTTACCACAGTTAGATTCTGGAGCCTGAGCACTCTTTTGACATTAAACATAATGTGTACTTGTCACAGACATGGCAAAAACTAGATCGGCTTTGGCAGCTCTGCTCACTTAAAATGACTTGCTAATAGCTTAAAAAGAGAGACAGAATAACTAATTTCCTACTTAATTCATTACCGTAATTACAGTATGTTCATATAGGTAGCAGGTACATAGTAGAGTTAGCAGGTACATATTTTCTTTCCTTTTAAAGAATAGTTTTGTTAACATCTAAAAATGATTAATTATATTAAAAAAATCATTTAAGTGTAAGTTTTAATCTGAGTACCACCATCACTACCCACCGTGGAAGAGGCAGTTCCTACTCAGAGTGACCCAACAGGTCAGCACAAGATTGACCATCAGAGAGGACAGCACAGGACTGACCGTCACACAGGCCCACACAGGACTGACTGGCAGGCACTGAGAGACTCTCAGTCTGAAGGGAGTGGACTGTCTCATCTCTCTCTGGACTGGCTGGGTTTACTGCTAGCCTTCTGTGTAGTAGTTGAATGCTTTTACCACAGTGCCACTACGGCTCCTTAAATCTGAGAAATATCTCTGAAAATTGAGTTCCATCATTACAAAACTTTTCAGAGATGGAGAGGATTTCAGAAGGGCCTAACAGATGAAGAACACTTGGTAGAACTCTATTAAGGAAGTCTTCTTTAAACAAAAAAGGAGAGCATATCAAAATTAATGCTTTAATATCTGCATTCATAGTACAGAATTCAAAGAATCTAAAATTGTTACATCCAAACATACATAACTGATCTGGCATTAGAATGTGTGCTGATCTGACCTGTGGACATGGGTGTGTCCAAATGGTAAAAATTCCTAAGAAAACTATGACCTCAATGGAACCGTACGCCTGTCCCTCAGTGTACCAGCACCCT